GGGCAGCGCCTGTGCTCCCAGCCGGTGGTGGGGGTCCCCTGGCTTTGCCAGGCCTGGGGTTCGGACATGCAGCCCTGCCCCGTGAGCCTCAGCTCGGAGTCAGAGGTGGCGCTGATTTAGCAGTGGATGGCACAGAGCAGGGCCACTTCTGGAAGAGCGCTGCTGGAGCCCGTTTCATGAAAGGAAAGGTGGGGTGACCAGGATGCCAGCATGAAGGTAGCCAGAGGCGCAGCCCCGTGGGGCCTCAGCCAAGGCCTGGCCCTTCATCCTGGGTGGACCTCTGATGTAGGCTGGCAGAAATGTGGATTCCTCACGGCTGAGGGGACCCAGGACCCTGAACTTGAACAAACCATGGGGCGGGGTATATGTGAGGCAAGTGAGGGGGAGGTCCGGAAGAGGGGGAGGGGCAGAGTGAGGACAAGGCGCAGGGAGGCCTCTGCCCTGGGAGCACGGGGAGTGAGGGGTGCGGTGGGAGCTGGAGGCGGCAGTTGGGCGGACCCGGCTGTCAGGCTAAGGGGCGCAGCAGGAAAAGATGGAGCAGGGGACAGCCACAGTCTCCCGTGTCAGGGGTAGAAGTACTAAGCAGGACTACTACAGAGCTAGGAGCAGGTTTGCCCACCAGTTGCAGGGTCTTGTGGGATAGCCCGGCAGTGCTGCGGGAGGACTAGAGATGGCCCATTTTCATCAGCTGGGAGGTAATGACTCAATTCCAGGAGGGACGGGAGCTGCAGCGCTGATACGCAGGCTGGGCCTGAACAAAGGGTACAGCAAAGGTCAGCGAGGCTGGCGGAGGGCGCCCTGCCCGGGCCTCACCCGGTGACATGCTGCGAGCTGCGGCTCCCATGCTGTGGAGCTCAGGGCACAAGCGTGGGAAGCACTGTGCAGCCCACAAACACCGTCAGTCCCCAGCACTGTGGCTGGTAACCAAGTAGAACGGCCGAATAGGCACATGAGAAAAAAGACAAAAGCAGCCCTGAGTGTTCAAGCCCTCTGCGCTGGGGCTGCAGCCAGCGCGGTGAGGATGAAGCCATTCCCGCGGGCGTGAATGCCTCTCCGCCTCGGCGACCAGGCTGCCATCAGCCCCAGCCTGGACCCAGTGCCCGCTTGTGGGGCAGTGACCCCTGTTGGGACCGTGAAATGTCGGGTTCCTCAGAGCTTCTGAAGCCCCCTTGCCTTCAGAGCCCAAAGGATAGCTGACTGGCCACAGGGGCTGGCTCCCCCTCCCCTTTCTGTGTTGGTGACATGTCAAGGGACCACGTGACACTCTTAACCTTCTCTACCCAGACCCCTAACATGGCCACGTACCAGGTGGTGGAGCTGCGGATCCTGACCAACTGGGGCCACCCCGAGTACACCTGCATCTACCGCTTCAGGGTGCACGGGGAGCCTGCCCACTAGCCCCTTGACCTCTCACGCCTGCTGCCAGCCATGCGGAAGGCTTGCCCTCCTCCCCCAGCATCTGCCTCTGCCCAGGGAGTGGGCACCCAGCATCCTACCACTGCCCCCCCCGCCCCCCGACATGCTTCATGGGCATTCTGACTCCCAGGAAGCAAGAAGAGCCCCAGTCCCCGGGAGATGAGGAAAACTGTGTGTGCTTCCTCGAGTAGCAAGGTGGCCGGCAGCCCCGCCCCCCCCCACCTCGAGCTGCAGGCATGGGGGTATAGATGTGGCACACCATGGGGATGGGAGGTGAAGCCAACAGCCGTCACTCTGGTGGGAGGCAGGCAGAGGGAGGAGGTGCCCAGGCTGAGCCACCCAGGAGACTGGGTGGGTGCATCGTGCAGGCCTCTAGGAGGGTGGGTGGCCCCAGGCAGTAGGCATCTGGCGGAGGGGCCTGCTCTCCCCAGAAGGCAGGCTGTGGGGAGCCTCGGGCCTGGGACCCCAAAGAGTTCTTCTAGAAGCCTGCATTTGCCCTGGGTTAGTAAAGGCCATGGGGCTTCTTGTACCTTGGAGGGAGCTGGCTTCTCTGAGCCACCGTCTGTGCCAATGAGGCCTTCCCAGTGCTGGGATGGGCAGTGTACTCCTGATGCTAGGGTGAGGGCCGCTAGTACCCCAGTGCAAGCTGTCCACTTTCTCCCCAGTTAGTGGGGGACCCAGGAGGAGGGAGCAGGGGACCTCAGGGCTCTCCTGGCCCCGTTCAGGGTCGCCAGCGGGAGAAGGGTTGTCTCACCAGGCCCCAGGGGCAACCTCAACACCCCCTTGGCTCTTGGCTCTTGCTTACCTTGTTTCCTGTCCGCTCTCTGTGGGATGGGGTGGGGTGCTGGCAGAAGCTCCCCTGCCCGGCGGGGAGACACACAGCGCCTGCTGTATTGTGTATATATTTTTTCAAGGCTTTTTCCCCTTTTTTTAAAATGAAAAGCTAAGGGCTTGATTCCTAGCCCCGTTCTCTGGGGCAACTGGGTAGCAGTCAGTTTCTAGTTCCTGGCTGCAGGGGGGCCTGGGCCTGGCTTGTGGGCAGGAGCTGCAGGAAGGTAGTCCCGTGTTACAGGGGTCCTGTGTAACGGGTCCTGCGTTACAGGGCTGAGCCTGACTCGGCTTCCAGCCCCACACAGCCCTGGCCCTCCGACACCACTGGGGCTGGGCCTGTGCTCTCCTGTCACAAATGCTGCACTGTTGGTTCTTAATTTTTTTATCTTCAGATTCTAATTTATGGCTATGCAAAAATAAAATAAAGGATGCCCAGGATTGGTGGGGTGTGCTTCTTACCTGGCAATCACAGCACAGAGGTTGTTGGGGAAGGCGTCACACCAGCATCCTCCAAGACCCATTCCCAAAGCTTAGAAACCCAGGACTTCCCGCTAAGCCCTGCCACGACACGGCAGGGAGCCAGGAGGCAACACCAGCACTTGGGGGCTCCGGGACTGGCAGGCGGAAGTGAGGCGGCTTCCAAACCTCACCGGGCCCCTGATGGAGGAAGGGCCTTAGCTCTCAGTGCTGCTGAGCCCGAGGCAAAGTCGAATGTTTAGGATATGCTTCTCCCAGCCGAACCCCAAGTTCTCCCTGACCACGGCACCTTGCCCTGGCTGAGAACACCAAGGTGGGAAGGCCAGTGTGGAGGGGTGGGGTCGGGAGAGGGCTCTGTCCCTGGATGGGGCTGGGCCTATGCTCTCCCCAAGCCTCCTTACCCCCAACATCTGCTCTGTACCTAGCACCAGTTGTAAACGAAGGCACACCCTGATTAGCAATGACACCACTGCACACACCGTGCGGGCTCGGGACCTTCATGCTCACATGTAACCCCCGCTGGCCCCTGGCCTCACCTTACACTCAGCCCTGGCACTTTTCCAACCCAACCCAGGGTGTTCCTGAACTGGAGCTCATGCCTGCCACCCAACCCCACTGTGCTGGGCAAGCCCAGACAAAGCCTGTTGTGAAGGGGATCTGGCTACCTCCATGTCCACCTGTACCAGCCTAGAGCCTCCCAGAGCCTGTCACCCACATGGAAGGGCAGGCCTTGCCATTTGAGGCTGACAGATGGACAGGCTTGCATTTTATCCCCAGTGGTTAGCTGGGAAAGCTGTGCCCTGCGAGGACTTGCGCGGTCTGTTCCTGACAGAGTGCAGCCATGTCCCTGCTGGCACTGGCATCTCCTGAGCAGCCCAGGCAGAGGCCGGTGTTCCACCGGAGCTCCAGCACACCAGAATGGTTACAGAGCACAGTGCAGACCCAATGGGGCCTCCCACTGAGACCTCGGGGGAGCAGCCTCCAGCCCCCCGCTGCCCTCGTCATGAAGATAGAGCCCAAAGAGCAGGGTGCATGTGGGGGAATCAGTATCTGCATGCAAGCCCCCAGCTTCAGCCTCAACTAGAAGAGCCGTGTGTTAGCAAGGCCCACCTTGAGGGGACGCGGGAATGTGGACTAGACATGAGAAAGGCCTCCGGCAGTGCTGGCTACTGCAGACTCGGCACTGCCAACGGCTCTCTGGCCACCCAGAGCCTCTTGCCGTGGACGAGGCGAGGGGCACCCATAGGCCCGTCCTGGCTGACAGGCAGCCAGCTCCCTGCAGGTAAAGCTGCATTGTCCTGCGGCCGCCCCTCCGCCTGGAGGGCTGGGCAGGGAACACGACACTGTCAACTTGGAAGAAACTTTTATTGTGAATGCTGGTCTGGTCAGTCCATGGCCACGGGGCAGTAGTAACTAGAAACAGCGGGGAGGGAGGGAGGAGGACCAGCAGCTGGGAAAGAAGGGCAGCTGAGGGCTGGAAGGTGAGGCTGAAGGAGGACCCAGCCAGCTGGGTGTCTGCCCTGGCTAAACAACACCCTGTCCCACCGGGCACCCTAGAAAAGCCGTGGGGCACAGCTCAGTCCTGTGCAGCCTCATCTCCCACCCTGGGCAGCAAAGCTCCCCGTAGGCTAAGTGCTGTGCTGGGCAGGGAAGAATCTTTTTCCACAGCTCCACCTTCCCCCCCTGTACCCAGCTGGGCTCTGGGAACAGCTGGGCAGGATGGAGCTAGGGAAACGGGCACCACACCCAGTCTAGTTACCAGTGCCTGCCACCGACAAAGGTCCAAGTCCTCTGGTGGGCAGATGGCAGAGCCACGGGCGCCGGGGCCAGCCCGCACGAGCACAGGATTGTCTCCAAGGGGAAGCCCACTAGGGCGAGCTGGGGTGGTCAGAGTCCTGCAGCGCTGCTCACACACCACTGCAGTTTGTGATTACGTGCCAGAGGGCCCACGGGGAAAAGAGGGAGAGGGGGAAGCCACCGCGTGCTCCCTGCTATGAAGCCCCGGGTCTTAGACTCTTGAGAGAAGATCCTGAATGCTGACGGCTCCTCAGCCCCAAAGGCAGCCCCATAGAGGGGCTTCCGGTTGAGAAGAGCCGGGCAGGAAGCAGGCTCCTTGAGCCTTCTCACCTGGACAGACACACGGACGGATAGGACAGGCCGGTAGCTAGTTCTTGGAGGCTGGTGGCCGGCCAGGAGGAAAGGAGAACTGACAGGGCCCGGGCAGGCCGCACTCTGCCTCACACACTTACACACTCACACACACACCACACTAAATTGAGAGACAGATATATAATAAAAAGAATAAAAACTAAGGGCCCAGATGTACAAAAGATGTGTGAGTGAGGAAGGAGGCAGGAAGAGGTGGGAGTCGGTCAGTTCTTGGGGAGTTTGGCCATCTTCCTCAGCTTATAAATTACAACCCCCCTGGAAAATGGGGCTGGGACCACGAGGAGGCTCCAGCTGTGGCCGGGGTGAGCGGATGGCGATCTGCGCTGCCCTGCCCAGCCGGTGAGGTGGTCAGAGTGACGAGGATTCAGCAGCCGCTGGCAGGAGTCATACAGGCCCCCTGGGTCTTCACTTTGTGGCGCTGGCCCCCTCGTCGCCGGCCCCCACTGCTAGGCTTGGGCTGAAAAGAGAGAAGGAAGGCACTTGAGAAGCGCTGGCCCCGGGGAGCGGGGCGGCAGGCAGGGAGCACTGGGAGCTGCAGGGACGGTGGACACACCGCCCAGAGAGGCGCAAAACGTGAGCCACGCTGGAGCGGAGGGAAGGAGCGTGCAGAAGGAAAGAACCAGAGGAAGAGCTCAACAAGAGGGAGCCGGGAGGGAGACACAAAGGAGAGACAGAACACAACATACAGAGCCAGGAACATTTCCCTTTCCCAAACAGGCATCCAAAGGAAATAAAAAAGCTGCCGGGAAGCAGCCGCTTAGCTCTGTTAGGCCAGGAGAGAAGTTGGGGAGAGCCCACGGGAGGTGGCGGTAGAAGCAGCGGTGACACAGCCACCCTGCCTCCTGTGTGTGACAGGCACACAGGACCCACTGAGGCAGCATCGCCACCTCTCAGTCACTGGACCACAGTGCACATGCACATCACCTACAGGCTCAAACAATATTTCCTGTGACTATAAAGAAAGACCATGAAAGTTTTTAATTCTTTTTTTTTGGGGGGGAGGGGGTCTGGTCGTGGGGCCTGAACTCTGGGCCTTGGCACTGTCCCTTAGCTCTTCAGCTCAAAACAAGCACTCTACCACTGCAGCCCCAGCGCCACTTCTGGTTTTCTGGTGGTTCATTGGGGATAAGTCTCAGGTCTTTCCTGCCTGGTCTGGCTTTGAACCATGATCCTCAGATCTCAGCTTCCTGAGTAGCTAGGATTACAGGCATGAGCCACCAGCGCCCAGCTTTATTCTATTTTTATTTCATTCAAACTAAAAGCTTTGGTCTGGGCACTGAAAGCTTCTACCTGTAGTCTGGAAGACAGCCCTTTGGGGCCAGCTCATGTAAGAAGGTTCCCTAGACTATCTCCAAAATAAGCAGCAAAAAGCAGGACTAAAGGTATGGCTTCAGTAGTAGAACAAGTGGAAAAGTTGAGTTTAAATCCCAGTACAGTAAAAAAGAAAACACGAAAACCCAAAAGCTAAATTCTAAGACCAGACACAATGGTTCATGCTTGTAATCCCAGCAACTTGGAAATCAGAGGAAGGGAGGATTGTGGCTGGAGGCCAAATCAAGCAAGAAATTAGTGAGACCTCATCTCAACAGTGGTAGTGTGGTGTCTGTCTGTAAGGACAGTAATATAGGAGGCCATAGGGCCAGAGGTCAGGCTGGCAAAAAATAAACAAAAGCAAGATGCTCTCTGAAAAACAACTAAAGCTAAAAGGGCCAGAGGCTTGGCTGAATTGGTAGAGCACCTGCCTAGTAGGAATCGGTTCTGAGTTGAAACTCTAGCTGCACCAAACAAACAAAACCCTAAATAAATGCTCATCAAGATCAATTAAACAGGAGTCATGAGAACCACACATACATTGTGCGTCAGGAGTTATACGAAGCATTTTTCTTTTTTTTTTTTTTTTACCAGTTGTGGGGCCTGAACTTTGAGCCTGGGTGCTATCCCTCAGCTCTTCAGCTCAAGGCTAGTACTCTACCACTTCAGCCACAGCGCCACTTCCGGCTTTTTCTGCTTATGTGATGCTCAGGAATTGAACCCAGGGCCTCATGCATGCAAAGCAAGCGCTCTACCACGGAGCCACCTTCCCTGGGGCTCTCGCCATCACCTCCACAGGATGAGCTGCAGCCCTCCCTGCCCCAGGCCAGGAGGGGCCCACACCCACCTGTGACTGGAGACTGCTGGACGCAGCTGCCTGCCCAGGCCCTAGAGAGGCAGCTTCGTCTCCGGGTGCAGCTGCCCCTACTGCTGGCCCGCCAGATGGGCCCCCCTCTTCTCGCTTGGTCAGGGGGCCCTTTTTCGTCGATTGCATTTTGATCTGCTGGGGTTTGGAGTTCATTGGGGAGTTGTTGGTGGTCTGGAGGAGCTACAGAAGCCAAAGGATGGGGGGGGGGTTGGTGGTGAGCATGAGGCTGGAGCTGCCCACACCTCCCAACCCCACGCCCAGGCTAGCACCACTGTAGTGCTGGGGCCTCTGATGTGGCCCAGCTGCCCTGCCTACCCTGCAGAAAACTCCCTGCCCTTCCACCATCTTAGACTTGGCCCAGAGGCTGCCCCAGCTCTGGACCAAGTTTTAGGGTCAGGCCTCAAGAAGATGCCAGGCGAATACCTTGTTAGGTGGCAACATCTGGAGCTTGTAAGAAATCATAAAAGCTAGACTGGGAAGGTGGCTTAGTGGAGACTGCTTGCCTAGCAGGCATGAAGCCCTGGGTTGGATTCCTCAATAACACATACACAGAAAAGGCCAGAAGCGGAGCTTTGGCTCAAGTGGTGGAGTGCTAGCCTTGAGCAAAAGGAATGAGCTCAAGTCCCAGAATTGGCAAAATAAAGAAAAAGAAACCATAAAAGCCACTGCCCAGGAGTGCTGGGCTCAGAATCTATTTTTGTGGCGCAGGCTCAACCTTACAGGACACTACAGTGGGGCCTAGAGCCTCTGCCAAACTCTCAGCTGGCCCCAAGAGAAGCAGGCCTTCAAGGCCACGAAGTCCCTAGGTCCGGTCCCCAGGGATGCGCCTGAGGAAACCCTTCAGGAGGTAGGGCCAACCTGAGGCTGATTCCAGGATTGGACATGTGCAGTCCATTTCTTCCTTTGCTGAAGGGAAGGGGAGGGAAGACGGCACTGTAGCAACACCTGGGCGCTGGCCCAGCCCCCCTAGAGCAGGGGCATGGGTCCTAAAAAGCCTGTGGTGCTCACAGCCATGGGTGGGGGAGTTCAGTGCTTCCTGGGACAGGACGTCTGCCCCCGTGGTACCTTGGTGATGGTGCCAACAGCCTTGGTGCGGCCTTCCCGGAACACCAGCCGCTGGTCTATGTGCAGGTACTCGGGGGTCTTGATGAAGCGGAAATGGACAGTAGCCTTATCCCCAGTGCGCAGACAGTCTTTGTCCATGCTTAGAATGGTGGCTGTCTGCCTGATGCTCCCACAATGCACTGCAGAGGGAGCAGGAAGGTCAGGCGTGCTAACGGCCTCAGGGCTGGGAGAAGCAGTGAGTGAAAGAAACACTGTGGAGCTGCAGACTAGCTGCAACTAGAGACCTGCTCCCTGCCTCCTTCCCCACCTAGCTGGCCCCCCAAGTCCTGTACTCAGGGCCCCAGTTCCTGAGCTTACATGCACCCCTCACTGGACTGGGAGCTCCTACAATTGAAGGCCCTTGCCCACGGTCTCCTCGCTCTCTGCTGTGTGGCACCCCCTCTTGGGACACAGCAGTGCTCCCCACACACAGTAGGTCCTCGAGGGCGGGTCTGGGGTCAGCCCCCTCGGTGAGCATCTGCAGGACAGAATATGCTGAGACGCATGGGCAGTACTGAGGAATAGCTTGAACGCAATGGACCTCTGCCTCTGGGCTGAAGCTAGAACTAGAGATTGGGTCGCTGAGCACCTTTTGGGATGGGTTCAAGCAGGGCCTCTGGGGCAACTGTACCCTAGACACCTACCCATGGCCTGGTAGCGTGGGCTAATCGTGGTGGGGTGGTGGAGGACAAGAATCTCGGCCTCAAATTCCCAGGAGGCTTGGGGATTCAAGCGCGGAGAAACCATCACCATGCCCTTTCGGATGGATGAGCGCTTGATCTGAAAGCAAGAGGAACCACAGAGCATAGGGACCTCGAGGCCTTCCAGCGTCACGCGCTGGCCGGCCCTGCCCCCACGCCTGACCGCTGGCGTGAACACACCAAGTCCCCGCTGTTCTGGCAGGAAGTCAAGTGACGCGGGGATCTGGCACACCCTCCCCGAACCCCATGTGGAGCAGGGCCCTATGCAGAGTGGACTTCTCATCAAGACGTGGAAGCTCGGGGCCCCTGTTCAGGCATCCAAGGGAGGACCAGAGCCCAGGAGGCAGCGGTCCTGGGTTTGAGTCCTCAGTCGAACACTTACTGGCTGGGAGCCTTAGTTAAGTCACGAGGCTCTGAGCCATTTTCTCATCTATGAAAGTGAGCTGGGGAGCAGCCACCCGAACTGGGGAAGGTGGTGAAGTGCCTTGCACACACAGTGCCAGGGGCATCGGGAAGTGCCCCCTCACCTTCTTCAGTGCAAATGAGGCTGTCTGGCCCCCGCGCACTTCCTTGACGGGCATGCGCTTGCGATGGATCGACTTGACGGCGATGGACAGGAAGTTCCCCAGGGGGTCTGGGCCTAGCAGCAGAGTGTCATTCAGCTTGATCAGGCCCCTCAGCGTCGTGCCTGACACCACGGTCCCCACACCCTGCAAGCACAAGAGGCCAGGCTAATAAGCCGCCCTCCTCCAACTGGCCTACCTTGAGGCCCACCAGCCCCCACCCCGGCCACTCACGGGGACAGAGTAGGTGTCATCAATCTGGAACTCAGCAGGCTCCTCCTCCCGGTAGCTGGTACGTGGGGACAGAAGGTTGAGGAACATTTTCAGCAGTTCTAGATTCTCGCCTGTAACATTGGATATCTGGAATATTGGGCACATCCTAAATGGAGGGGGAGAGAAGAAAGGAAAGAGGTGCTCAGCGGCCAGCTCCTACCCTGCAACCCCAGTCGCCACCTTCTCCGGAGAGCGTCACACACCACTTCTGTCCTGAAGCCCTTCTAGAGCTCGTGGACAACTACCTAGGACTACATGATTTTTCCATCAGTCATTTATTGGCTTAGTGAATCCAACTATTCAGGCTGAATTAAATTCCTTGAGACCAGGTTGTACACAGTCCCATCGCTTCTATAATGGTGCCTGCAAATCAATGAGCTGGAGCAGGGCAGGACAGGACTGTGTCACTGAAACAGGCCAAAAATCCAGGCTGCCCTGAACTGAGCACTATAAACTCAATCACTAGGCAGATAGCTCCTAAGGAGGCCCCTGGCTCTGGGTCAAGGAGTAAATTGGACCAAGATCACTGTCACCAAGCAACTGTCGGGCCAAAGAACTAGCTATCTTGAGTACTATGCTACAGACACCTTTGAATCCTCCATGTTTACATGAGCAAACACCCAATGAATACTTATGGAATGAAAGGACACATTAATAACCTATGATTAGAAAGATTCTGAGAATATAAAAAGCTAATACAGCTGGTGCCGGTGGCTGACACCTGTAATCCTAAATATTCAGGAGACTGAGATCTGAGGATCACAGTTTGAAGTCAGCCTGGACAGGAAAATCTGGTGGTAGAGCACAAGCCTTGAGCTCAAGGACAATGCCCAAGCCTTGAGTTCAAGCCCTAGGACTGGCACAAAAAAATAAAAGCTTATAGAATAATAAAGAATAAGCTACAGCTGGGCACCAGTGGCTCACGCCTGTAATCCTAGCTACTCAAGAGGCTGAGATCTGAGGATAGCAGTTCAAAGACAGCCAACGCAGGAAAGTCAGTGAAAGTCTTTTTTTGTTGTTGGTGGTAGTGGTCATGGAGGCTTTAACTCTAGGCCTGGGAGCTGTCCCTGAGAGCTTTTGCTCAAGGCTAGCGCTCTACCACTTTGAGCCACAGCTCCACTTCCAGTTTTCTGGTGGTTAATTGGAGATAAGAGTCTCACAAACTTTCCTGCCTGGACTGGCTTTGAAAGGTGATCCTCAGGGGCTGGGAAGGTGGCCCAGTGGTAGAGTGCTTGCCTTGCATGCATGAGGCCCTGGGTTCAATTCCTCAGTACCACATAAGCAAAAAGAAAAAAGCCGGGGGGCTGGGAAGGTGGCTCAGTGGTAGAGCGCTTGCCTTGCACGCATGAGGCCCTGGGTTCGATTCCTCAGTACCACATAAGCAAAAAGAAAAAAAAAGCTGGAAGTGGCGCTGTGGCTCAAGTGGTAGAGCGCTAGCCTTGAGCTGAAGAGCTGAGGGACAGTGTCCAGGCCCAGAGTTCAGGCCCCACTACTGGACCCAAAAAAAAAGAAAAAAAGAAAAAAAAAAAGAAAAAAGCCGTAAGTGGCGCTGTGGCTCAAGTGGTAGAGCGCTAGCCTTGAGCTGAAGAGCTGAGGGACAGCGCCCAGGCCTAGAGTTCAGGCCCCAGAACCAGACCCCCAAAAAAATAAAAATAAAGAAAGGTGATCCTTAGATCACAACCCCTTGAGTAGCTAGGATTACAGGCATGAGCTACCAACACCCAGCCTAAGAGACCTTTATCTCCAATTAACAACCAGAAGTGGTGCTGTGGCTCAAAGTGGTAGAGCGCCAGCTTTGAGCAAAAATTACTCAGGGACAGTGCCCAAACCCTGAGTTCAAGTCCCACAACACACACACACACACACACACACACACACACACACACAATCGGTATATGTTTATTCTATACCAGCCAGGCACAGTGCTAAATGCCTTATGTAAGTAAGTACATGGATACACATTATACATGTATGTATACATGCAATGTGTACATGTAATTATGTTTCCTCCTGAACAGTAAGAATGTCCAGAAGATCTCATGCCCGAAGCAGCCAGTTTAGGCCTACTGTTCACCGTGGCCTGCTGGCACCTGCACCTGCTTGGAAGCATCCCGCCCCCACCCCTTACCTCTCAGAGCTGAAATTGGAAGCTGTAACGATCACATCGTCTTTGTTCTGCACAAGCACAGGGATCTTCCGACAGCCCGGTGACTTCAGCAGGCGCTGTAACAGCTTCAGGGTTTCTTAAAGGGTGAAACGGAACAGAATTAGGGGACACAGCCTTCTCTTTAGCCAGACTTCCAGGGTAAGATGGGTCCATTCATTACTGATGCAAGCAGGAGACAGACAGACAGATGGAGTGTTAAATGCCACAATGCCTGGAGAAGCAAAAAGGAGGATCAAAACTTTGGGTGGGTTTGCATTGCCAGTGTGGAAAGCGCACAGATGGGGTCTCTTTTCTAAGGCTGTGAGTCTGAAATTTGGCAGATTTCTCCAGAATCTCTAGAAAGCCCACATCCTGTAGATGAGTAATTTAGAGGTTCCCTGGGAAGGACACTGTTCTTTCCAGAATACTCTATTCCTGAAAAAAAAAATCTCATCTGTCAAAAGGACTTCTTGGTGTTTCTTTTTTTTCTTCTTTTTTTGTTTTTTGTTTTTGGGGTCCAGTTGTGGGGCCTGAACTCTGGGCCTGGGCGCTGTCCCTCAGCTCTTCAGCTCAAGGCTAGCGCTCTACCACTTGAGCCACAACGCCACTTCCGGCTTTTTTTTTTCTGCTTATGTGGTGCTGAGGAATGGAACCCAGGGCCTCATGCATGCAAGGCAAGCACTCTACCACTGAGCCACCTTCCCAGCCCTCTCTTGGTGTTTCTTAGAAGTGTGCAGAGGCTCTTATGATGAGGTTTTTCACAGGCCACACCACACTTCTCCCTAATAATCCGCATCAGAGAAGAAGAGGTACACGAAGGCCTACTCCCACAAGCCCAAGTGGAAACTCCGCCTGAACCCCTCCATGTCCATCTAGCTTCAGTGGCACAGCCCCCCGTCTGCTGCCAGGGCACATCTGCAAAGAGGTGCCAGATTGGGAACCTTAAAGATCCTCTGCATTGAACTGGAAGGAACTAAGAACAGAGGGAAATTCTAGGCCATACTCGTACCAAGAACTAAATAGGGGAAGGAGCAGCAGCAGCAGATTTGAAAGAGGAAACTCTGGGCTGAAGGCCTGGCAACAGACCACCCCGAGACAGTGCTGCCAGTTCCAGAGGTCACCAGCTGCGGTGCGGGCCTCATTTACCTTGCAGGATGTTAGCAGGACACATGTCGATCTTGGTGACTACTACGAAGACAGGTACATTAAGTGCCAATGCCAAGCCCAGGTGCTCCTTGGTCATCCCCACGATGCCAGCGTTGCTACCCACCTGTCCCAATGCAGAAAAAGAACGGTTAGGACAAGAGGAATAGTCTGCTGTTGCTAGGGATCAGGGTCTCAAAGAAAGCTGTGTGTGAAAGCTGGGCCGGGCCCAGATGGCGTTGACCTGTGCACACGGACTTCTGTCAGAATGAATTCAACTTAACATCTCTGGACCCTTAGTTTCCCATCTCTAAAATGGGGATAACCATCTCCACTTCAGAAGGCCGAGCTTGCAGGTTAGATGTCCCAATATTATGTGAAGGTTCTAAAACAAAAACCCAGCATGAACTGTTTGTGCAGTGGCACATCAACCTTCCAGTAATAATACAAGCTTTTCAGACTCACGAAACAAATTAAGAGCACATGGAACTGCTGGGTATGGTGGTGTGGGCCTGTAATGCCAGCACTTAGGAGATCGAGACAGGGCATCAGGGAGCTTGAGGCCAGCCTGGATGATATATAGCAAGTGCCAGCCCAGTCTGGGCTACACAGCAAGATATTGTCTCAAAAAACAAGAAAAGCCAGGCACTGGTGGCTCACACCTGCAATCCTAGCTACTCAGGAGGCTGAGATCTGACAATTGTGGTTCAAAGCCAGTGCAGGCGGGGAAGTCTGCGAGACTCTTATCTCCAATTAACCACCAGAAAACCAGAAGTGGTGCTGTGGCTCAAGTGGTAGAATGCTAGCCTTGAGCTGAAGAACACAAAGACAGCGCCTAAGCCCAGAGTTCAAGACCTACAACCAACAAAAAAATAAAAAGAAAAAAAAGAAAAATTATAGGGCTTATGTTCAAAATGCAATGCACAAAAGGAAAAAGAAACTTTTTATTGTTTTTGGTGCCAGTCCTGGGGCTGGAACTCAGAGCCTGGGCGCTATCCCTGAGTCTCTTTGTGCTCAAGGCTAGCACACTACCACTTGAGCCGCATCACCATTTCTGGCTTTTTCTGAGTAGTTTCTTGGAGATAAGAGACTTGTGCACTTTCCTGCCCGGAATGGCTTTGATGTACAATCCTCAGATATGAGCCTCCTGAGTAGCTAGGATGGCAGCATGAGCCACCAGCATCTGGCTGAAAAAGCAACTCTTACCTTCTGACATAGGCTAATCATCCATAAACACTTTTAAAAGAAGAGAAAATAAATTTTAAAAAGCAAGCTATAGGTAGTATGCCTCCATACAGAGGCGAGTAACTGGGGATGGATGCAGCCATGCATGTGATTAGCACGTGCAGGCCCTGCGTCCACCCCAAAACCACAAGAGAAAAACAGGTGAGCAGTATTAAACTGTTTGAAAAAACGCAGCTGTAATAGAAGACAAGTGAGGAATATCTGGGATAATATAAATACAGACAAGTTACCGGCCACTTTCTTGGCTGCAGTAACAGTAGGAGATAGCACTTACTATGCTAAGTACTGGGGTCCACAACTCACTTTAAATGATTCAACCAAAAAAAAGGAAACAAATACATGTACCTTACCCATACATCATGTTAATGTTGACTCTAAATGGTGGGTTCATTCTTTATGTAACTTACACAATATGAAATAATATATATTGTATTAATAAAAAAAAAAAAGCTGAGCGACAATGGCTCATTACCTGTAATCCTAGCTACTCAGGAGGCTGAGATCTGAGGATCTCACTTCAAAGCTAGCCCAAGCAGACAAATCTGAGTGATCCTTATCTCCAATTAACCATTAAAAGTCAGAAATAGATGTGCGGTTCAAGTGGTGAAGTACCAGCTGTGATGAAATTTCAAGCCCCAGGACTGGCAGAGACAGACAGGCACTCAGACACAGAGAAAATGCTACCTGATTTGATGGCTACTCATTGCATGCATATATTGAAATATCACATTGCACCCTATAAATATGTTAATTAAATGTGTTAATTAAATGAAAAAAAAGTACAGTAGCTCAAGCCTGTCATCCATAGTCACTTGAGAGACTGAGATGGGAAAGAGTAGTTTAAGGCCAGCTAGGCAGAATTTCAGAGATCTCATCTTAAGCTATGGCTGGGCACAGTGAGGTACCATCATTCCAATGGCCCGCAGTCCAGGCCTACACGGTCATAAAAGGAGACTATCTCAAAGATGACCACCATGAAATGGAACTGGCTGAGGAGCTTAAGTGGTACAGGGTGTGTCTAGCAAGTGAGGCCTGAGTGCAAACTCTAGTACCACAAAAATAAAATAAAAAGAACAAAAAGCACCTACTGCTCCAAATCGACCCAATCATCTTCCACTGAGACTACTTCCTGATCAGCAGTTGTCCTCTAGTAATCAAGAGAGCTGGTGACAGACCTTGCAATGCTCCAATGAATGCGAGATGAAACCATGATGTAACCCACAGATCTCAGGTGCAATGCCAGGAAGCTCAGGCAGAGAGCTGCCAGGAGTCCCTGCACAAGAAACCCAGCCTCTCTCTCTGTCCATTATGGGAGTTGGCCTGAGAACCTGTGTTTGTGGGGCAACTTGAGCAGGTTTGCTAGGAACAGATGTCTGTGTTTCCCACACTTATTAACGCAGGCAGCTGAAGAACTAGGAAGGGGAAGGAAGGACATGCCAGACGAAAATAACACTTGTGCAAGTGCCTCTCCTCCCTTGCCTCCCTGCATGAGGTGAGCGGGGACTGTGCAGGTGTGGGCCTCACCATTCCCACTCTGTCTGGTGAAGAAACTCAGCGGGGCAGACAGGCAAGCATGGCAGTATGAATGAGCCAATACGAGTTCTCTGCTTTCTCTCCTTCCCAGTGACTCTGCATGGTAAGCTGCTCAGAACCTAATCATGGACTGGGAAGGTGGCTCAGTGGTAGCGTGCTTGCCTAGCATGCATGAAGCCCTGGGCTCCATTCTTCATTACCACATTCACAGAAAAAGTTGGAAGTGGCACTGTGGCTCAAGTGGTAGAGTGCCAGCCTTGGGCAAAAGAAGCACAGGGGCAGGACTGGCAAAACACACACACACACACACACACACACACACACACAATTAATTATACTATGGGCTAAGGGCGTGGCTCAAGTGGTTGAGCCTGCCTAGCAAGAGTGAGATCCCAAGTTCAGACCCCAATACTTCCTCCACCCCCCAAAAAAATATCTAATCACACTAAGTATAGCTCTCTGGGAGGCCCCATGACCAACATGTCCTAGATCTGGTTGTGTCACCAGAACCCAAGGCCTGGCCCATAGGAAGCTCCCAGTAACGGCTGCACCTGACTAACATTCCTTCCTCTCTGACTGGAGGCCCCCTTGCCTGCTGCCTGGGCCTTCTGACAGGGGGCGCTCCCTCCATGCCTTCCCTAGGCCTCCCCTCTTTGAGAGGCCTGACGTGGCCTCCTGTAGTACCAGGAAGAAACGTTTCTGAAGGTAGTAAGCTCCAGGAGAAACCCTCATCCATGCCTCTCGCAAAAATAAGTCTGCAAACGAGGCCCTGTTTATACCAGGAGCATCAAGGTAAACCGCTGGAGAAGACCTCAGTGCTTAGAGAGCCCACAGCACAGGCCGTGGCCTCGGAATGACAGCGAGCCCCTGCATGTGATGGCCCAGCTGCCCTTCTCTGACGTCCTCTGGGGAGCACCTCCCCCTTACCATGAGCATGCAGAAGTCAGGCAAATGGCCAGTCATGCCGAAGACGGTGGTCTTCAGGTACTTTTCGTGGCCAGCCAGGTCAATGAAGGTAACGACCTTGGAGGACTGCTCACAGATCTTTGTCCACTCCAGGCTGCCACCGTGGCTGTCAGGTTTGTTCACCACATTGCCTTCGCTGTCAAAGCCCAGAATGTCGTTGCCCACACTGCTGGTGCGGCCCGATTCAATCTCGTGTTTGTGGCGGAAGAGTTTCTGGCGGGCAAAGCCACGGCCATTGTCCAGCTCTCCGTGCGTCAGGACCCCCAGAAGCGTGCTTTTGCCGGCATCCACATTGCCCACCACTGCTACCCTGCATGGACACAAACCCATGCATCTGTGTGAGAGTCCGTGGGTGAAGGACAGCTCAAGAGCCTGGAACTCGATCCCCGAGTCCAGGCTTGGCCCTGCACCCCTCAACTCACGGTGTATTGCCAATGTCCCTGGAGCCACGTCCAGGGAGTGCAATGCCCTTTGGCGCCCTGTGACTAAGGCCTATTTCTCCAACTTCCACCCCGGAAGAACCCCAAAGTGGATTTTCAGCCACACAGCTCCCATAGTACCCACAAAATGCAGGCTGTACCCTCTCTTACACTTCCCAGAAACAGTGATGCTATCCTAACCCAGGCACTTTTCGCCCACTCAGGAAGGGCGAGAGCTGACAGGGTGGGTGTCACAGGCCCCATCATCATTCTCAGCTGGGCCCTGACCACATGATTCCACACGGAGCACCCCGGAACAGTTTTCAGGCCTCCTCACCTGACCTCCAGGAAGTCGTTGTCTCCTACTCGTTTCCGAACCAGGTAATCCCGCACACGGCCACCAGCTTCTTGACGCTCCCGCAGGAGGATGACATCCGCCTCTATCTGCTCCGCCATGCTCTTCACTGTGGCATAGGAGGCCTCCATGTCTGCTTCACTCAGCCCGTACTCAGTCCCATCTGGTGACAAGAGAGCAGGCATCAGCCACAGAGAGAGTCCTAACCAATCAGCCAGGCAACAAGCCAGCCAGTCAGCCCCAACTAACCAAGGACCTGCCTGGGCACTGGAGAGCACAGTCTCTACCTGAGTGCAAACAGGAAGCGCAGAGTTAAGATGTGACAGTGCCAGCGGCTTCCCCACCAAGCAGGGCACTGGGCAATTCACTCAACTACAGTCACCGCCACTCTCCTGGGTATTAAGCCCCCGCACTGGGAATGCAGGTGTCCTTAGTGAGTTCACTGCCACACAGGAGAGAGGGAAGAAATTAATTAACTACAACAGGGCTCCAGCACTGTGCTGTTGAAAGCACAGCATGGAGCTGGGTGCAGGTGGCTCACGCCTGTAATCCTTGCTACTCTGAGGATCGAGGTTCAAAGCCAGCCCAGGCAGGAAAGCAGGAAAGTCCATGAGACTCTTTATCTCCAATTAACCACAGAAAATCAGAAGTAACCTTGTGGCTCAAGAGGTAAAGTGGTAGCCTTGATCTGAAGAGCTCAGGGACGGCGCCCAGGCCCAGAGTTCAAACCCCATGATGACCCCCCCCCAAAAAAAGACAAAAAAAGAAAAAGAAAGAAAGCAAAGCAGGACCTGGAGAAGGGCAGTTTGGGGGCACTGACTCCAAACCTGGTCTTCAGGGGTGAGAAAGAAATCCACAGAGAAAACAGGGCAGTCTGCCAGTGAGACAAAGCATGGAGCATAGCAGAGGGTGGTACAGTCAGGAAAGACACTCAGGGTGATGGGGGTGCAGTCTAGGGGACAGGGGGGCGGCCAGAGAGAGCTGCTGGGGCAGGACAGCAGACAGCAGCAAAGCTGAGAGTGATAACACAATCAAATCAAGGTGGGTTATAGAGATCTCATGGCTAAGCAAGCAAGAGGCCAGATACAGGAAGCAGAGAGAAGTAATTCGAGCCATCTACGCAACCCATGAGGACCGAAGATGGAGGAAATGGAGATTTCTGGATTATTTAGAGGTAGACTTTTAACTCAGGTGTGGCTCAGGTAACGTGTCCAGCAAGCAGGTGAAAAAGGAGTTCAAGTCCAGGAAGAGGAGGGGAGGCAAGGAAGGAGGGTGGCTCTTGTTCCCCAGTGCCTACATACCGTAAGCCACCTGTAGCTTCTTCTGGGTGCTGTGGGGTTTAACTCCCACCCCTGCGCTTTCAGCCTTTCCCTGGGCCCCTTGTGGGGTGAGCCCCTTTAGCAGAGCAACCTCTTCTCTTCTGCTACCTAAAAACCTTGTGCCAGGAGTGCTCCCTGCCTCCCTCTCCAATGCTCTCCTGAAACAAGCCTGTCACATTTACACTAAGAAAAGGGCTGGGGGCATAACTCAAGTGGTAGAGCACCTCACTAGAAAAAGAAAGCCACCTTCTTTCCCTTTTTCCTATTTACCTCCTGGGCTATCAATAGCTCCAGAGTAGCCCACCTTGTAGACCATCCAACTCTACTTGCTCTTAATTGACTATTTTTCCTGAAGAAAGTTTACAGACATCACCAATGGCTTTCCAGCATGCTATACCGCTGCCATCCTGCCTTGCCTTCTGAGGCACAATTGTCTCACCTGTCGTCATCAAAGACCTTCTTCTCACCAGATGCCTGAATCCGAGCTACTCAAGAAGCTGAGATCTGAGGACCATGGTTCAAAGCCAGCCCAGGCAGGAAAGTATGTGAGACTCTTATCGCCAATAAACTACCCAAAAAAGCCAGAAGTGGAGCGCTGTGGCTCAAGAGGAAACTTGTGACAATGCCCAGGCCCTGAGTTCAAGCCCCTGCCCCACCCCACCCTCATCTACTTTCTTCTAAACTTCATCCTTAGCCATCTTGAGGCTTCATCTTGAGTCTTCATCTATGGCTCCAACTGGTTTTGTTGTTGTTTTTCCAGTCCTGGGGCTTGAACTCGGCCTGGGCACTGTCCCTGAGCTTCTTTTGCTCAAGGCTAGCACTACCATTTGAGCCTCAGCACCACTTCTGGCTTTTTCTGTTTATGTGGTACTGAGGAATGGAACCCAGGGCTTCATGCATGCAAGGCAAGCACTCTACCACTAAGCCACATCTCCAGCCTCCCACTGTTTGACAACCTCAAAAACATTGCTATGGAGTAGTATCTTCCTCCCTGAGCTCCATACCAAGTTTCCAATGACCTGGATGATAACTCTAGAAGTCTCATCCAATTTCAACCACCAGCACCCAAATAATTTGCCTCTAAAGCTCTAGGTAGGCATTGCTACTTCCTCTTAACAGTGTAGCAAATAGCCAGGCATGGTGGCATACGCTTGTAATCCCAGCACTATAGGAGGCAGACACGGAGGGATCAGAGGATAGTAAATTTAGTATTAGTCTGGATCAGAGAGATTCTACTTAAAAAAAAAAAAGCGGGGTAAATAGAAGCCAGTGGCCTCAGAGTGGGACCTTATGAACTGTGGTCTTCTGAGTCCAAATTTAGAGCCTGGTCCTTTGCCAGTGTCCCTCTTGCTGGTGGACCTCCCTTCCCCTTCCAATAATGACAACACGTTCCTTCTGGTCACCTGCTGATTCCAGCTCTTCATCATGCCCTTCCTTCTCACTGTCTACTCTGTTTGCCAATCCACTGCCACCCATCTGACTCCAGCCATTATTCTACCCGAGTCACTGCAACAGACTTTCTGTTAGTCTCAGCAGATCCAGCTTACTCTCTCCTCATCCTGTGTAGATCCACACACTTAAGTCCCCAAAGGAATCTCAACCCTAAAGACATCACTTCCACATCAAACCTCCCAATGACTGTTAAGAACCAGTAGCCTTTCCATCCCAATCCCCTAAGGCCTCCCCAGCTTGTATACTCCCTTCTCAACCTCCTCATCAGCTCTGCCCCAGTCCACGTGGCCCAAGCACTCCTTCCGCTAGCTCCTGCATGTCCCAGCTCTACAGTTTTGCTCATGGACTTCCTGTCCCACCAGAGCCAGTCAGGAGGTATCCTGGGAAGGGCCTGACGCACTGTCTTGCTCAGAGGCCCACAGACATTTCTCGCCCTTACAGCCTTGTGCAATGGTGCTTTGGACACAGGCCCTTGCTGACCATATAACATGTTGAGGATGGGACTGTATTTCAACCATTCCTTGACCCTTGATGCCCCACAGGGGTGGCTTTTCAACCTCAGGTCCCAAACATTGGTAAAAATACAATGCAAATGAACCCAAACAAAGCAACAGGTTGTGGGGAGGAAGAGAGGTTCTAAGTATATGGGCAAGTGAACTCTGAACACTTTCTGGGTTAGAGAAGGGCTGTGTTAGAGAAGTGATCCTCAAGGAACACATCTTGTTATCTTGTGTGCACTTCTGTGTGTACATGTGCACACATATGCATGTGACACCTGCCAATCCTAGGGTTTGAACTCAGGGCTTGGGTGTTGTCCCTGAGCTTTTTTGCTCAGGATGGTGCTCTACCACTTGAGCTACAGGGCTACTTCAGGCCTTTTGGTGGTTAATTGGAGATAAGAGTCTCATGGACTTTCCTACCCAGGCTGGCTTTGAACCGAGATCCTCAGATCTCAGCCTACTAGTAGCTAGGTTTATAGGCATGAGCCACTTGTGCCCAGCCAGAAGGTATTTTTCTTTGGCTTTTTTTATTTTTTGTCAGTCGGAAGGCTTGAACTCTGGGTCTGGGTGCTGTCCCTCAGGTCTTCAATTCAAGGCGCACGCGCTACCACTTGAGCCACAGTGTTACTTCTGGTTTTCTGGTGATTTATTAGAGATAAGAGTCTCATGGACTTTCCTGCCCAAGCTGGCTTTGAACTGTGATCTTCAGATCTCAGCCTCCTGAGTAGCTAGGATTACAGGTGTGAGTCACCAGCGCCTGTTAATGTTTTGCGGGGGGGCAGTATATTTTTACTGGGGTTTGACCATAGGGTCTCACGCTTGTGAGGCAGGTGGTCTATCACTCGAGTCAGCCCTTTTTACTCGGGTTATTTTTTCAGATGCTTGTACCTTTGCCTCCCTTGTACCATCATGCTTAGTTTACTGACTGAGGTCTCAGTAACTTTTTGCCCGAACTGGTCTCAAACCCTGATCCTCTTGAGCAGCTGGAGTTACAGACACAAGCCACCTGGACGCCTCACTTCTACCTATTCCCCTCTGACAGTATATGGAAAATCAGTGCTTTCAGATCCTGCTCCACACCAGGGTGTGTCGACAATGTCACCTTGTCCATCAGGGATCTCGGTCATACTACCCTTCTCTAGCACTCACTGCATTCTTCACTTTAGGAGTGGAGACAAAAGCTGCAGAGGTCCAATTACTAAAGGCCACAGACTCAGCCACGCACAACCCTAATCAGATTTCCCTCCCACCAGTTCATTTACCTTTCATAAGCCCAGTGTGCTGCAATGACTCCCCAGACTTTAGGGATAAGTGTCTAACCAATTCAGCATGGCATTCAAGGACCCTCATACCTGAGCCCTGTCTATCTGTCCAGTCTCCCCTCTTGACCTCACTCTCTACTCCCACCTTACTGGCTTACTTCTAACCCACTAAATACGCCTGTCTCCAGTGTGTCATGCCTTCTTGCGTCATTCCCTTTGCCCACTCGTCACCATCTCCATTTACCTGGAAATTCCTGTTCATGGCTTAGGACCAACCCAATAGCCCGTATAACCTTTCCTGATCGCCCTCCCCCCCCCCCCGCATGAAGATACAACATCCTTCCTATGTCCCCTGTACTTTAATGGAGCACCTGGTCACAATCATGACTCTGAAAAGGTCATGATTTAGTGTTTAGGAAATGAACAAAGTTGGAAAGAAATCTCACGGTAAATCAACCACACAGCCTGGGATCCTGAAAATGTTAATACTGCAACTGCTAATACTAACATTTATTTATACATCATGTGATTTCTTTGAATTTCCACGAATTCATCATGGGATAGGTTCTATTGTTATCCATATTTTGAGACAAAGAAAAAGTCCCAGGCAAACCCAACCCTGCCAAGCTCTAAACCTAAACTACAAGGCTCCATTAACTTGCCTCCTTGTAAAATACCAACCTTACATTAAGAACAAACACAGAGCCAGGCATCAGTGGCTCACGCCTGTAATCCTAACTACTCAGGAGGCTGAGATCTGAGGATCGAGGTTCAAAGCCAGCCCGGGCAGGAAAGTTCATGAGACTCTCATCTCCAATTAATCACCAGAAACCCAGAAGTGACACTGTGGCTCAAGTGGTAGAGTGCTCGCCTTGAGCAAAAGAGTTCAGGAACAGTGAGTGCCCAGGCCCTGAGCAGAAAATAATTTTTTTTACATCCAATTGTTTATACACCATTCTCTGAGGCAGGATGGAGAAGGTGTCATTCCCTCTTCTCCAGAGGAAGGCCATGACAGAGAGGTGAAGCACCAAGGACTATAGGAAGTAGAACGAAGCCCACCCCTGGGTCCCTGCATCTGGTTCAGTCTGTTTGATGTTCAACTTGCTGAACTAGTTCTGACCTCTTTTTGCCTTTAAAGAATCCAGCAGGCAGGAGTCACTATGCACGGCATAGCACCCAGCTAGGCGATGGGAGGATAATGCTGGGGTGTGTGGGAGATGGGCTAATGGGTGTTTGACATCTTATGCTTTGCCACAGGAGGGTTAATTAGTTGTGAGTTGCCAAGGCAATAAATTCAGAGTACAGAGTAAAGGACAAGAAGGAGGGAGTCTTAAGAATCTAGGTCTTTCCCGGAGCCTGAAGCAGGAGGATAAAATTTGACACCAGCCTGGGCTACATACTGAACACCTTCCTCCGCAAATTAAAAAAAAAAAAAGAAAGAAAGCAAAGAGAAAAAAGAAAAGAAAAAGCTGAGTCTTCAAGACTAGTCACACCACTTGTCAAAACTGACCTTTATGTGGTTTCTGAAATGCTATAAGCATGAAGTGATCTTTGAATGGCTCATCTTATTAAATAAAGCCTGCCAAACATATACTGGACAAGCTTTCAAAAGCTTTTTATTGTGAAAATACTGTACAAAGGGGTTACAATTACATGGGTAAGGTTATCAGTGATTTCTTAGTCACCAAGTCGAATGGCCTTTTCTGAACCTAAAAGTACTTTCAGCCTGGGGAGTATTCAACAATGCCAACCAACTTTATCCCCTCTTGACATGCAGCACCCTGGGTCTGCCTATCTCTCTTACCAAGTCTTCTTTTAGGTGATAAAACCCATGACTGAGGAGGTGGCAGCAAGAATGAGGAGAGATAGGAGACACATTTCACAGGGAAGTATATCAGTATTTGGAGATCAAACCTTTCTTTTGTCATCTTGTGGCATTTCCAAGTACTGTTTCCTATTCAATTCTTGGTGTATATGACGTCTTTCCTCCTTGAAGAAGGTACCAGATACTAACTATTCAGGAGGCTGAGATCTGAGGATTGTAGTTTAAAACCGGTCCAGGCAGAAAAGTCCCCATGAGACCCTTATCTCCAATAAACTGCTCAAAAAGGCTAGAAGTGGCGCCATGGCTCAAGTGGTAGAGTGCTAGCCTCAAGCACAAAGAGACCCAGGGAGGGCTGGGAAGGTGGCTCAGTGGTAGAGCGCTTGCCTTGCATGCCCGAGGCCCTGGGTTTGATTCCTCAGCACCACATAAGCAAAAAGAAAAAAAGCTGGAAGTGGCGCTGTGGCTCAAGTGGTAGAGCCCTAGCCTCGAGCTGAAGAGCTGAGGGATAGCACCTAGGCCCAGAGTTCAGGCCCCACGACCGGACTCAAAAAAAACAAAAAACAAAAACAAAGAGACCCAGGGACAGCGCCCAGGCCCTGAGTTCAAGCCCCAGGACCAGGAGAAAAAAAAAAAAAAGAAATAAAATTTACCCCTCACTAATGCTGGGGATCAAACTTAGGGCCTGCCTAGAACATGCTAGGTAAGCAGGCTACTACTAAGCTACACCTCTAGCCCCAAAGACCAGATTTTTAGTATTCAATAGAGAACTGGGAGTATGGATCAGGTGGTAGAGTGCTTGCTTAGCAAGTACTAGGCTCTGAGTTATAAACCCAGTTCAGGAAAAAAATAACATAAAGTATCTAAAAGAACTATGCAACAGTATCAAATCTTAGAAGATACTTTTTAATTTTTATTTATTTTTTTATTTTTAGGTTGGTCATGGGGCTTGGACTGAGGTGCCTGGGTGCTGTCTCTAAACTCTTTTGCTCAAGGCTAGCACTCTACTACTTTTAGTCACAGCTCTACTTCCCATTTTCTGGTGGCTAATTGTAGATAGAGTCTCATGGACTATCCTGCCAGAGCTGGCTTTGAACCTTGATCCTCAGATCTCAGCCTCCTAATTAGCTAGGATTACAGGAGTGAGTCATCAGCATCTGGTGAGAAGATACTTTTCAATAGATTTTTGCCAACTAGTCAGGGGAAAAAATTGGGGGGGGGTAGTCTTGGGAATTGAACCCAGCCTTGTACATAGTAGACGAGTATCTTACCTCTGAGCAATACTCCAACCCTTTTACTTTTTAAGGGTCTCCCTAAATTGCCCAGGCTGGCCTCCAACTTGTGACCCTCCTGTCTCTACCTCCCAAGTAGCTGGGATGACAGGCTTAGACTATCCTGCTCAGCAATTCCATTTACAAAAGAATTATTACCTGCCTTTACAAAGACTACAGTGAGCAAAGAAAACTGGTGCCTTAATGATGTATCCAGGCCCATCCTGGGGCTTTCTGCAAAGATGGCAAGAGACAAGTGCCAGTATGGGCTGAACTCATTCATGTTAACGATCTTAGGAAGTGAAGCGGTGGCTCTCGTGGTAGAGCACAAGCTTTAAGTAAAAAGGCTCAGGGCAGCATTCAGGCTATGATTTCAAGTCCCAGGACTGGCACCAAAAAGAAAAAAAAAATCTCACTCAAAGCATTTCTTTGAGTTGGAGATGTGGCTCAGATAGTAGAGCACCTGAGTGAACGCCAGCATCAGACAGTGAATTTGAGTCCCAGTTTTGGGCAAAAAAGAAGGAAAAAGAAAGAACTCAAGAAACAATCTCAGGTGTCATATTTCAGAAAAGATGGAGCACCATTCCTCTACATCATCTGGGATCCAGTCCCGGGCTCCCTTCCTCTAAAACAGGAGGCCCATCGCAATGAATAAGTAGGTTGGATGACAATAACTAGCATGCTCTCAAGTGTACATGCCTGTCAGGATCTACTGGGGAGAAACGGGACCTCTGTTATCACAGCTATCCAGACTGAATGGTCATTGTGTTCTGGGCCACAACCTGACTGAGAAGAGGAACTCTGGGCATCTGTTCCTTGCTGACACAAAGAAGAATGACAGATTCTCTACTAAGCAGGATACAGAGAATGACGGGATCCATAAACAGGGCTTGGAGAGAAGAATTGGATTTTCCCAGGCTAGACCAACTCTAGAGCTAAAACTTGTCCTGTTACCTTGGAAAAGAAGTTTCCTTGCTTGCTGCTCCATTTCCTTTTATGCAAATGGGGAACACCTGTGCAACTGCTTGGATTCGTTATAGCCAAGCACATGGTGACCACTATGGTGGGAGCTGACGTGAGCTCTGCCTGCTTATGTTCTCCCAACAGTTCTGGCGACACTAAGCATCACTGCAACTGAGACATATGAATGGTGACAAAGGAGGCAAATGTGCTCTAAATAATTGTTTAAAATAAATGAAAGGAAAACTATGCTCACCTGATCCCTGCCCAATGACATATATGGTCTCTCCGCATCCCTCGTCCATCCTCTCCCACATCTGCCGAAGTAGGCTGTCATACTGCTCTGATGTAGGGCTCACTAGAACCAGCTAGAAGAGAAACCAACAGCCTTAGGACCACACTTACTAGACAGCACCAGTCAAAGCTGATCAACAGCCTGACCAAAGACCCTATCAAACCCACAGTACCCTAATTGGAAACAGCTGTGCAGCCCAGCCCCCTCATGTCCTCTCTTCCTCTCCTAAAGCAGCCTTATATGATCCAGATGATGTACAACCTGAGTACATCTGAGCCACCACCCACGAAGAGGTGTAAGCAGCCTGCCTCTGAGTTTCGTAAGAGGGGCAGGAACCAAACAACTGAGGAGCTGGCACTACAGGAAGAAGCTGATGAGCAGTGCTTTACACCCATGTGCCAGTCTACCTGCAGTGTGCATCTGGAAATTCAAGGACAGAAAGCTCATATACATCCAGCAGCTCCCACAATAACCGAAGAATGTTGTTCCACCTCATATTAGCTACCTTGATTATTTGGGAAACAGTGGTGAAAACTGCCTAGGAGAGTCATCTTCATCAACGAAAATATCACTACCACTGAAGTAAGCATAAGCATCATTGCTGTGTAAATTCTGTCCATCACATTGAAGTATTGACCACTTATTTGGGGAGGTCTTTCACCAAGAGGCACCTCAGACAATTCCTATGTGACCTTGGACAAAGAACTTAACCTCTCTGAATCTCAGTCTATAAAACAGAAATGCCACCTTACATCCTAAAGCTACTGTAGAGACCAACTACAATAGCATGTACAACATTGAGCCCACAGCTCAGTAAATGGTCACTGTGTTTTCTTTACCCAGTTGTTTCTAGGAAAACCTTCTTCTATGAAACTCACCACAAATGTTCACTGTTTCTCCCTTCAAAAGCTTCTTAGAGCCTTAGGTCCCCACATGAGATTGTGGTAAGTGTGTCTTAACTACTAGGCTTTACACTTTTCAGGACTTAATCTATTAAATCCATTCCTTTACTCCTCCACATGACTTTTCTTTTCAATACCATCAATATTTGTATTATATTTGGCTTCTGAATTTCAAAACTATGAGGATTTCCCAGCTCTTTATCACTTCCTTACCCATGACCATTACACAGACTGGTCAGAAAATAAAAGGTCCTATCCTCTCTGCAACGTTACCCTACAATTTCCTGTCTTCAAGTTTCTTCAGCACCTTGGCTGGGTATTGACCTCTACCTGGTCCACTTCTGAGTCAGATGCCTATCCTATAACTTCCTGAATTGACTCATAGAAGCTTGCAATAATAAACTGGACACTGCCTGGGTCACATGGCCTCGCCCTTTTCCCCAACCTTCTGTCTCTCTGAGTTTGCCACCCCTCATGATAGCATTAGAGGAACCAGACAGGACCACTGTGACAAACAGGAGCCACCTCGCTTCCAAGTGCTGAGACTAGAAGGACAAAGAACAGTTGAGCAATTGCTTACTTAGGATGCAGCGAAGGACTAAGTTTCTGGTCAGCATAAGCTATGAAAATTCACAAACATTTTCAAAGCCCCATTAAAAAAAAAAATCTCTAGGGCGGGGAAGGGGCTTAGTGGTAGAGTGCTTGCCTAGCATGCATGACACCCTGGGTTCGGTTCCTCAGCACCACATAAACAGAAAAAGCCAGAAGTGGCGCTGTGGCTCAAGTGGTAGAGCACTAGCCTTGAGCTGACGAGCTGAGGGACAGCGCCCAGGACCAGAATTCAAGCCCCACAACCGACCAAAAAAAACAAAAAACTAAAATCTCTATTGTAACTATCCTACAACAGGTAGGAGGTATTACTAACATTCTGTCTTCTATCAGTTGTTATTTAATCCGCACAGAGAACTACCAGCTATCCAGTTCAAATGGGCAGAGTCTCTAGTAGGGATCAAAAAACCACGACACTAGATGTCTTCACATACACTTCTAATTTTTGCAGCAAATTTGTACTTTCTGAAGCCCAGGCGGGTAGAGAAATGAGAGGTTAAGAAACTTTCCCAAGGTCACAAGCCTTTTGAATGGCAGATCAAGAAAGGGAGCCCAGCCTGTCAGACTTCCAAGTTGACATTCTTTCCTTTGGCTGTGTTAAGCACCTTCAAAACACCAGTTACATCTTATACTTACTTTTGCGTTTCTCCACAACGCCAGCCAGATGGTGAACCCTTAATCCCTGCCTCCCATTCCTAACAGCTCAATTTTATTTAAAACACTACTTAAAAGGACCTTCGTTATTCTCTAACGTACAAGAGCTGGTTCCACTCCCAGATAGTGAGATTTGGGGTCATGCCCATCTTTCAAGTGGAAAACAGAATGTGTTTTCGGTGGACTCGCGAGGTGGACATTCCTCAGATACCCTTCTCCCCGACTGAGCGGCCACTTTCTGTTTCCTTTCCGCAGATCAGGACCAGATGCGGCGGCCACCCCGCTGCCCCATCTCCCTCCACTACCTGTCCCGGAGCGTCCCGCCCGCGGCCCAAGCCGCCCCGCTCCCGGACGCTCCAGGGAACCGAACACTCTGGGTCTCCGATCCAACCCGAGGAAGGGACGAGGCCGCCCGGCGCCTGGCGCCCGGCGCGGGGACAAGTACCCCCACGGCGCGCTGCGGGCGTCGAGCGCCCCGGTTCCACGTGGCGGGGCCGAGGGGCTGCGATCCCGGCGGGAGCCTAGAGCGCGGGAGGACGGGTCAGCACCGCCAGGAACCCAGGTGGCCGTGGGGGGCTCGGGGGGTCGTTCGGCCCTCACACATCTCCGAGAGCGGCCGGTGGGCGGGCTCGGTCCCTTCCCGCGTTCCTGCCTACCCCAAGACTGGACGGCCGGGTGTCCACCGTCGCCGGGGAGACGGCTCGGCCCGCCGCGGATCCCCGTAGAGCCCGCCGCCGCCGCCGCCGCCGCCCGGGCCTACCTTGCTGGTGAGGTCCAGCTCCGGCTCGCCATTGAGCGCCTCGCCGTCCTCGCTGCAATCCGAGTCGAAGCCGCCGTGGAGCCGGGCTGCCGCCGCTGCGGCCCTGGCCGCCCCCGGAGAGCTGGGCTCCGGGGCGAACATCGAGGCCGGCACCGGCGAGTCCATCGGGGAGCGACTCCGCTCCGCCGCCATCTTTAATAACTTAGGCTAATTCGCAGTCTGCCGCCCTCCTCCCGGCTCATTTGACTAATCTATGCGCGGGCCCGCCCCTCTCTCGTTGGAATAATTTATGCGAAACTTCTCCAGCCGCACTTATCTCTAGCTCAGACACAATTAACCGGGATTCCCAGCCGCCAATCGCTGCGGTCCTTCCAAATATCCTCATGAATAATTAATGAAGCCCAAATCTCAACAACAAATTTGTCCGAGACGTCACGCTGCCCGGTCCCAGCTCCGGAGGGGGCCGGAGGACGTCCACGCTACCTGCCCGGGATCTTCCCGCCAACGGGAGCAAAGCTAGTATAATTGACGTGGCGGCGGCCCAATGAACAGAGAACTTCATACAACGCTTTTCCCCACCCCGCCCCCTCACCCTCCAGCTTTCCAGGGGCGGTACACAGCTCCCAAATCTGGCGGCCAAACAGTCAGCGCCAAGAGCCTTCCGATGATGGACAGGGGCGCGACCCAATCTAAGCTCTCCTAGGTCCCGCGCCTCAGGCCTCTACACGCCAAGATAGTAAACGGCAAAATGAGCCTCCCACTCCAGTGACAGAGGCAGTCACTGGAACACTATGTCCAGTTGGCACGTTCCAGGCAAATTGAATAGTAGAATCGATGCCGTATATTCCAAGAGTTGTAATACTATAGCAGCCAGAGTGAGGCAATTAATTAAACGCTGACCTTAGGGAGAATTCTCCATTCATTGTCTGAAATAAAAAGTGCGAAATACGGAAAATAACAACAACAGCAACAACAAAGGACAGGCAGCAAAAATACAAGCCAAAACCACAAGATCCAGGGCTCGTTAAGGTAGTTTCCTATGGATTTTTTCCCCAACGTGTCATCATTGTGGAAAGCCCCAAATGCCAATGGTGCCTTAAAGTCTTGTTTCAAATGTCTGAAAAACCTATACCTTCTGCTAGGTGACAAAAGGGATCAATAGTGGTATAATACTGCTTCCCTTTGCCTCTCATCCTGCAGCAGATTAGAAAAAGCAGCCCATACACAAGACTTATGGTTTGGCAAGAATAATGTAGTGAGCATGGGACGAGATTCAAGATGACCTTAGCTTAGTTTAATGGATTTACCTCTGAGGAAAGACAGTCTTACTCTGTTCATTTTCAGCTAGGTATGATCAAGGTAATCTAGGACAAAAAGTTACTGAATTTCCAGATTCTTCTGGTCTTTTGTAAAATTTTCCTGGTTAAATCATCCTATATATTCTTCTATCTGGTCCCAAAATATATAGTTAAAAAATGAAAATCCTAACTTTAGAAAAGTCAAATATTGGACCATGGGTATGATTTGGTGGTAAATGGGCAGAAGTGGTGGAAGCTGAGACCTGGAGGATCAAGGTTCAAAGCCCCCCCAGGCAGAAACCTCGGTGAGATTCCATTTCCAATTAAGCAGTAAAAATATCAGACTAAGCTGGGTGCCAGTGGCTCACGCCTGTAATCCTGGCTACTTGGGAGACTGAGACTAAGGATCGCAGTTCAAAGACAGCCTGAGAATAAAAGTCCATGGGACTTTTATCTCCAATTAACCACACCAGAAAACCAGAAGTGGCACTGTGGCTAAAGTGGTAGTGCACTAGCCTTGAGCTGAAGAGCTGAGGGGCAGCACCCAGGCCCACAGTTCCATCTCCATGACCCACAAAAAAAAAACTCTGTGAGACTCTTATCTCCAAAAAGCCAGAAGTGACACTGTGGTTCTAGTGATAAAGTGCTAGTCTTGTACAAAATAAGCTCATGTACAAAATAAGCTCAAAGACAGTGCTCAGGCCCAGAGTTCAAGCCCCAGGACAGGCAAAAAAAAAAAAAAAAAGACTAAGCCAGCCACCAGTGATTCACACCTGTAATCCTAGCTACTCAGGAGGATCACAGTTTGAAACAATCCCAGGCAGGAAAGTCTGTGAAACACTTTCTCCAATAAACTACTCCTCCCCCACCCACCCACTAAAAAAAGCTGCAAGTGGAGCTGTGGCTCAAGTGGTAGTGTTAGCCTTGAACAAAAGAAGCTCAGAGACAGTGCCCAGGCTCTGAGTTCAAGCCCCAGGACTGGTACCCTCCCCTAAAACCTGACTAGAGGTGTAGCTTAAGTGATAGAGTGCCAGCTGTGAGCAAGAACATCAAGTGACTGTGAGGTTGATTTCAAGCCCCAGTACCATAAACAAAAAGACTAAATATTAATATCAAGGTACTGGTTTCTACAATAATTGTCTTAATGTGAAATATCTATGTGGTCTTTGTCTTCTTCCTGTTGCTTTGAGATCTCCTGAGACTTTTTTTTTTTTTTGACATGCTAGTCACCCAGAGATCCAATTTTGGGGAGATTAAAGGTTAAGTAGATCACCAATACCAATTTGATCAATCATGTCTATGCAATGAGACTTCCAAAACATACTCCAAAAGGACTGTATATGTGTTATCTTCTAGACAGCCAAATATACAGAGGCTTCCAGAGAGAGTGACATCCAGAGAGGGTCCACAAGTACCTGTGTATCTCTATTATCTGGTTATTCATCTGGCACCTTTGCAATATTCTTTACAATCAACTGCTAAACCTACATGTAGTTCTGTGAGCAAATTAATTGTATCGAGAGGGTCACAGGAACACTGATTTATATAGGGTTCTGGTCCACCATAAATTTTAGAAGAACAGACTTGCAAACTGGCACCTGGAGAGGCAGTTTTGGGGGCCAGGGTCCTTAACCTGTGGGAATCTGGTGCTATCTCCAGGTGGCAAGAGAATTTAATTAAATTAAGGGGTGCCTACTTGCTGTCTGCTGCAGAATCTGATTGGTTGCTAGAGGTGGGGGGGGGGGAATACACACATTTTGGTGACTGGTGTTGCTGGGTTGTACTGGATATATTGCTCAGACCGGTATTTAGCATCTTACTAACTCTTCCAGAAAATGTTTAAATTCACAATATGCTAACAGCTGATAGCTGACTAAAAACTGACTAATGCCCTTTCCATTTCAGGTTTTTACCCAGAGAACATATTCTGATTAGATGCTTCTGAAATTGAATGGGGGAAGGCTAAGGTAACATTTTAGAGGAAATTCCCTTCCCGCCTTTTTTTTTTTTTTTGGTCATGGGGCTTAAACTCAGGGCCAGGGCATTGTCCCTGAGGTTGTTTTTTTTTGGGTCCAGTCGTGGGGCCTGAACTCTGGGCCTGGGCACTGACCCTCAACTCTTCAGTTCAAGGGTAATGCTCTACCACTTGAGCCACAGCACCACTTCCGGCTTTTTTCATTTTTGTTTATGTGGTGCTGAGGAATCGAACCCAGGGCCTCAGGCATGCAAGGCAAGCGCTTTAACACTGAGCCATCTTCCCAGCCCCTTGTTCCTGAGTTCTTTTGCTCAAGGCTAACTAATGCTCTACCAGTTCGAGCCACAGTTCCACTTCCAGTTTTTGAGTGGTTAATTGGAGTGAGAGTCTCATGGGGACTTTTCTGCTCAGACTGGCTTTTAACCAAGATCCTCAGATTTCAGCTTCCTGAGGAACTAGCATTACAAGTGCGAGCCACCAGCAAATGGGCCTTCCCATCTTTTTTTTTTTTTTTTGTGGGTCATGGGTCTTAGAACTGTGGGCCTGAGCACTGTCCCTCAGCTCATTAGCTCAAGGCAAGCCCTCTACCACTTGAACCACAGCACCGCTTCCAGTTTTCTAAGTGGTTTACTGGAAATAAGAGTTTCACAGCCTTTTCTGCCGGGGCTGGCTTTGAACCTCGATCCTCAGATCTCAGCCTCCTGAGTAGCTAGGATTACAAGCGTGCTGGCACCTGGCAAACCCTTCTGATCTCTTTAAAGCAAACAAAAACTAGGGGCTCACTATGTAATCCAGGCTGGTTTTGAACTCTGGATCGTCCTGCCTTGGCCTCCTGAATACTAAGATTACAACTGTGCACCACCATGCCTAACTTTCCTACCCATCTTTCTATCTACTTTTTGAAAATAGGATAGCCTAGGTTCAAATCCTTATCTTCTACAAAGTGGTCCTAAGTCACTCAATGAGGGATCTGGGGGAGGCTGGGGTGGGAGGGCACTGGGGCTTGAATTTAGGACCTTGATCTCTTGTTTTTTTTTTTCCCTCATGGCTGGCCCTCTGTCACTTGACTTGGGCCACACCTCCACTTCTGGTTAACTGTATTGGCTGCACGTCAAGCTCTCAATAACTAATCTGTGTTATAACCATAACCCTGCAGTGACTTAAAGTTACAAAAGTAGTATGTCAGGTGCCAGTGGCTCAAACCTGTAATCCTAGTTACTCAGGAGGCTGTTATCTGAGGATTGAGGTTCCTGCCAGCAGGGGCAGGAAAGTCCATGAAACTCATCTCTAATCACCAAAAAGCAGGACATGAAGATGTGGCTCAAGTGGTATACTGTGTCAGCCTTGAGCAGAAAGGGCCAGGCACAGCACCCAGGCCCTGAGTTCAAGCCCCAAGACTGGTACACAAAAAAAACCAACCTTAGTTTGAGGAAATAACTCAGATGTGTTAAGTAACACTGCAGACTGCAATCTTTCTTAGAGCTTGTTTGGAGGTTTGGGCTCCATTTACATACCCTTGACCGACAGTGGGTCCTCCTATCCAGGAATGTTTTCCTAGAGGGAGCAGCTTCAGGAGAAAGGCTCACAGAGCAGTGAGAGAGGGGTCACACCTGGCCGAGGCAGCCATCATCTAATCAACCTTGGGCATCAACAGGACCACAGATGCCACAGCCAGATGGCCGTCACAGGCTAGACTGGTCATGAGAGTTGTGGGGGAGCAAGATCAAAGAAACGACTGAACTGCGAGTGCGCGTTTTTATTCTTTTTATCCAAAAGGAGGACATTTAACCCGGATAGTGATGCTTGTCACACCAGCCAACAATGGGGGGGGGGGGCCAACGTGACACTGCAAGTAGTGTGTCTCTGACTCACACAACGTGCTTGAGAAAATGCAGGGGGCGGGGGGGGGGAGGAAGGGGAACATCCGTGA